GGGGGGGGGGGTGGGGGGGGGGGGGGGGGGTGCACGCATTGCTTACACATGCGAAAAATGCACCTTCGCATGTGTAAGCAAAAATCCTTGTACAGGCCCCGACTGGTTTCACTGGGCAGGCAAGTAATTGGATTTCAAGACAAACATCCTGCAAGAGGTATGAATACAGGGGCTGTATTCCCTATTATACCATTACATTTATATGAAGTACCTGCATTGGATATCATCCCCATCTCCTGCAACTCCTGTACAGCACAGCTCACACTGGGAAAGTGAAAAGCAGCACACAAGTCCAGTCAGTTGAGTGATGAGCTCAGTATGCCGTTTTTGCTGTCCAGTCACAGGCTGGAAGAGGGACAAGGAATGCCTATGACTTTAATATATACAGTAATGCTCATCTTTCTCACTGGTCAACCAGAGCCTTTGGTCTTCCCTGCTCCAGGTGGCAGTTGCATTCTGTTATCACTTTCCATGCAGTCCTGCATTGTACACATGTATGGCAAGGGCACACCCACAGCCTGGAGTGTAATCTGTTGCAGGTACCAGGAATAAAGTTTTTACAGCTTATTCCTCTACCCCCTAGACAAGAACATTTACCCCTAGCAGTGCAGGGTATCCCAATGCAAGCTTTTTGTGCCCAGCATGTATTGCATTAATGCACATTAAGGTGCACTGCATTTAGGCAGCCCATTATAAAGTACCTTAAGAAGGACACAGGGTTTAGTTATAGACTTTTGTCCTGCATTATGTCCACTAGATGGAGCAGAGTATAGGAAATGCCACACAAAGTGTTGAGTCAAATTTAAAATTGCTCCCCAAACATTTTAAAATACACCCCTTGGTGTTGCATTGTGCTGCAGTGTGGGTTCTGTGTACACTAACAGCATTTAAAACTTACAATGAATTGGTTATATTGTAGTCATAATTATGCAGATATCAAAAATCACAGGAAAAAAGCCACAAAAAACAAAACAGGTAATTGACATGCTAATCAAAAAAATTACCCTATAGGTGACAGCCACCCCCTGCCATCATACAGGGACAGACTTCACATGTTATCACTCACTTGTGAGTTTCCCTGTTCTGCTTCAATTCTACTTTTCTTTGTTGCTTGAGAGAGGCGGGAGTATTCTCATTTAGAACACCACCTGAAACAGAAGGCATTACAGAAAACAATCAAGGGTACAAGAAAAAAAGGACAGGGCCCCAAAGCACTATTTAATACATGGGCACACTCCCCAAACAGGAAAAAAAAAACAAAAAAACAGAAAGATGTGCTATGAGGAGATGCGGGTCCATAGCATTGTGGCAACTACACAGGAGCCATAAATGTAGCACATGTTATTGCACCCAAACATACCTAGCAGTGGGTATGCTCTGCAGCACAATTCCTTAACTTTTAGTATGGCAAGTGTAACAAGCAATACTGATGACCACCAATTAATATCAAATTGTCCTACAGCAAGACAAGAATGTACTGCAAGATTCCAGCTTGACTCGTGTCTCCCTCAGGTGTGTTAAAGTAGCACTGGTGCGAACAAACCTGTCCTCAACCACTGTCATCTACAGTGCCGAGTCTGTTTCAGAATTGGCAATCTTTGCTAACGAGAGTACAGGGTCACAAAAGTTGTTGCAAATCAGGCTGCCTCAAAGTATATGCAATATCTGCAAAGGTTTTGTTTTTAATTTGCTTGATAAATGTCCCTCTAGTCTAGAGATATCTAGTCTAACAAGTTCCCTTGCAACCCAGACACTAGGCATTATCTGCCAGTAATTTGGTGAGGATGTAGCAATTGTGCCTGCACTTCTGTCGGAAAACCATCAAATTGAAGCCTTCAAACCAGTTAAGAACAAGAGGCACAATAATTTTAGAAGTTACAATGGTACCCTGAAGTCTTAAAAATCAAATAAGTATCTCACAGTAGAGAGAAATAGACTGTGATTTTACACAAGTTTCCAATGAAAAAAAAAACATCTTACCTTTCCCCTCTGGAATCTCCACATGCCTAATGTTTGATATCCACTGATAGAACGGAAACTGATAGATCTGTCCGCTGGGGCAGGTGACATTAACATACTGGCAGAACCATTCATCCACACGGAAATTTAAGTATGGTTCCATGGAAAGTCGAACAAGCAGGAGCTCTCCAAGATCTTTCTTGACATTTATTTCAATCACTGCCACCTGCAAGTGGAAAGGAATTAGATCTGCACACACCTACAAATCGTAGAATGGCCACATGTCTGCAAGTGTTGGCCTGGGAATTGCAATACCTACAAGGAGATTTTGTTGACAACCTCATTGGTAATGTGCTTCAATTCTGTCATCAATGGTGACCAGAAAAGGAGTTAGCCTAAAATGTAAGTAGCAGTAATGTGAAATGGTGGCTCAGCAGGTCACTGCCTGCTCAAGAACCATAGCCAGGTCACACACAGCCTGCTGACAAGACAGCAAGTAAAAGGAATCTCCCAATTGGGAAAAACTAGAGTCTAACCCCTTTTCTACACTATCCAAAACTAAAGAGGTTTGCCTGGAGTTGAGATGAAGTGTTTTAGGTTTATGACAAGCTGAGAAAGTTAGTCATTGGTGATTCAAGCCATAAGCAGTTGCAGCTAGAAGACAGCAGCTGCTAGTAGGCTTGGCAGGTGTTCAGTATTTACTGTGTAATGTCTGCAAAAGCTGCCCATAGACCTAAAGTGATATTCATCAATGCAACCCTCTAAATAGGTTGGTATATTTGGCACAACCCCCCCGCACTCCCCCCCATCCACTCAAGTTGCAATTTGTTGACTACAACTGAAGTCACATTCTGACGAAAGTGGTGCCCCAAGGTGAAGATGTGCAACAAAGTTTTATTTAATGTGCCCCTTATTGAGTTAACTTTTTTGACCAATTCCTGCACAAGCCAATACAGCTACTAAGTGCACCCAAGCAATACCTTATCCCCCCATTCTGACCTTCTTGGAGAGCAAAGTTCAGTTAGCCAAATTTAGCCATTACATATTTAGCCCCTGTTAGTTAAATTAGTTGGTTTCTGTGAATTACTGCCTTTGGTGCCACAAAATGCAAATTCTTAAGAGCCATGCCATAAGCACATTTTATCTAGCCCATACTTGTTTCGTTAGCACATTACTAGAGTCTTTAAAAAAAAAAAAAAAAAAACGACATGCAGCATTCAGTCCCCAAATCATCTAGTCTCACTATAGGCACACCTACTGATCACTTTACCCCATCATTATTGCCCAGTTATATTCACACTTTGTCAGCCATATCAAGAAACTCACAGATCCAGGCAAGAAATGGCTCCAGTGACGGGACAGTTGCTGTTTAGCACTTTCTCCATTTACGCCCACAAGCACAACAGAGATATTATTAATGGTGCCAGCAACCAGGTCTTCGCCAGTGGCTATTGTCAGGTTGTAGAGCCCCATGGTTTGAGGAGATGGCCTGCCAAGCAGCAGCTCTGCAAGACAAGAATTGTCATCAAGAATCTTACACCATATACACAAGATGACCAGATCTGTGGCTTCTCACTAGACCAGTAGAACAGACAGATCCTGTGTCCAAAAATCACAACTGCTTGAATGTGTTATTTTGCACCAATACTACAAGAAAATACACCGGATTACTTGTGCGAGGCATGCTAGGCAGCATGGGGAAAAGCCCAAAATTTTTGCAGCTCATTAGAATTTGGAAAACTGAAAGTTGTTGATTGCACTAGGTTTCAAGACTGACTGCTCAGTCAATACCACTGGTAAAGGAGTTCTCACCTCTACTATTTCCACAATAGTACAGACATCTCAGCTATTACGCATTCACTTTTGCAATAATCTTGCCATGGGATTCATTATGCAGCCAGAACCACTACACCCCCCATGCTGCAGTTGTAGGTCACGTGGTAAATAAAAGTAAAAGGTTCTGCTGTTAGAATACACATTGTATCTATAGCAATAACTCCTGCAGTATACAATTTCAGTCACTAGATGGCAGTGTTAATAAATTCTGTTATATCTATGGTAGATTATCTGTTGTATTGAATAAAGCTGTGGCTTCCTTTCCGTTTTAGTCAAGCCATGAGAAGCATGCATATTACACTGTGTGCTTGTGTTACTCTGAGGATGTGCAAGAAGTTCCAACATCTGCCCATAAACCAAGCTCTTGACAATGGAATCCTCTTCACTCATCTCAAGTTAGTCTGTCATCCGTCTGTTAATTAGCCCTGTATAGCTCTAACATTTGGTAGTACATAATTGTTAAACAGAACGCAGATAACTATAGTAATGGTTGCATTGGATGGTGCAATGGGTAACGGTGTTCTAAAATGTTTAACTGGAGTCTGGCTGCCATGGCTATTGCTCTTTACAGATGCATTAACATAATGTATCGGAGTAGAAATGCCAATACAGTCATAGGTCACTTGAAACCCCTTAATAGCCCATCATCTGACTTCACACATCACCTCCCAGTGTCTTAGTGGAATGGGTGAGGTCAGATATTTCACTAGCAACCATGTTTATGTAGCCCGTGTGTCCATCACAGCAGCAACTCAGAACATACTAAAAAGGTGTTACACAAGGAACCATAAACTAAATACAGGGGCATCCTTATCAAGCCTATCCAGTATGAAAAAAGATTCAGATTCCAGCTGAAAGGACTTCTTTAGGATCACTTCTTACAGGTAGCAGCTGTGCACTTAAAGCTGAATTTAACCCACCAATTAACAGTTTCCCCAGAATAAAGCTCAAGTTAGAAACAGTCTATAAATTATTAATTCACCATTCCATGTGTCACTGATGAGATTTCAGTTCCTGTCTTGAGACAAGTGATGGTAAAGCTCAGTTATCACTGGAATAAACATGACCCCATTGCGTGATTTAACCTCTATTCTAGTAACAGTGATAGACAAGTCACGAGGATAATGCTCCCTAGCAGGAACACAATCTATAAGACTGAGGGGTTCGAACCCTCCCCTGCATCACCTAAAAATAAACATTGTCTTCCATTATAAAAATGATATATAAAAACAGACAGAACCCAAGTAGTGCAGCAGGAAAGAGTGCAGCATTGCAGAGTACATCCAGAGGTGTTAATGGATATAGGATGAAGATATGACTGATGGGTGACCTCTTTCTGGTTACCTTGTGTGGATTGTAAAGAGCACTGCAGACAGAATTCAATGCATTACTATCAATTGCTGCTACATGCTCACACACAGGACATGGTAAAGCCATATTGGACCATGTAAACAGGACACTGGGTTTGCATGCTGGAGCAAGAAGGATACACATTGTACACTACAGTTTAAGTGGCAGTCTTGGTTTCATTGCCTAGGTCAATCAATTCTTTACTGCTGCATATATCAGTGGTAATTCCACTTGAAGGTAGTCATAGAGAAAAATGGTCAGTGCATAGTTATATTACCATCCAGCTAAAGGCCCAGAGTTCCTCTACCCCAGTGCTAACCAGACACCCAGTGCAAGCCTAAGCTACTCACCTAGCAGCAGAATAGAGAACACTGTGTATACGGAGACTCAAAGAACATATATATAGGGTGTGCCAGAGGGGTGTGACCACCTGAAATTCCTTAGAAAACACTAATCCTAGGACCACATGGGTAATTCATTTCTATTTGCTACTGAGAGATGTAACCAGGTTTTGGTGATCATCTCATTTACAGCAGGCTGAAATCAATGTGATGCTGCCTAGGTCACTTTCAACCACTAGTTTAATATTAAGTTTCTTAGTTAATATTTTTATTTTTTTATTTGTTTTCATTGACAAGGATTGCTTACTGAGTATAAAAAAACATTCCCTTTCCATGCATAAGCATCTAAGTATGTGTTTTTTGTACCACATGGACTGCAAGGATTCAGCAATTCATAGCACATGAAATATTCATTATAAAGGAAACATGTCATGAGAGAAACATGGCGGCTGCCATTCCGGACCTCTACTTAAGAAAATACTAGTTGTCTAGCTGTCATATAAAGGACTAGATAAGTTGTTAGGCTCACTCAGTGTTGGGGGTTTAGTTTACCCATTAAAGGTTTCAAAGGGTTAAGTGTTACAGGAAAGTTATAATTATTTAAGGGCCCATTTACACATTTGTCATCCCTCTGCAGGTTGTTAACATGTGTTTGGTTAAGGCTGGCCAATTATTACAACTGGGCAGCTAGCACACTGCAACAAATAAAAAAACTCACCTGACTCTTTTTTTTTTTAACAACGCAGCACACTATAACGCACAGTGCAGTGTGGCCCAGTGCAGTGCATTGTGTGTTGCATTGTACTGTAGAGTGCATTGGGGTGCCATTCACAATGTAAAGCACTTCAATGCCGTGGACATAGAGGAGGTGCGTTGATGTGATATGTCTGAACTTACTGCTATTTGGGGCTCCCTTTGATAGACAATTCCGGGTGCAATATGTTTGGGGTGCGGGCATTACCAGTACAAAATGCAGCTGAACCAGGAATGGAGGCATTCCCAGTACAATATGTTGCTGAGCCAGGGATGGGGGACATTCCCAGAACAATATGTTGCTGAGCCAGGGATGGGGACATTCCCAGTACAATATGTTGCTGAGCCAGGGATGGGGGCATTACTAGTACCATACTAATTAAAGTATTATATGCCACTGAGCCAGGAATGGGGGCATTCTAAATACATTAAGCTGCTAAACCATGGATAGGGGGCATTCCCAGTACCAGGGCCAGATTAACGTAGGGGCGGGTGGAGCTGCCACTCCAGGCCCGCCAGCCAGCACTGACCACCCGGAGCCTGCACTGACCGCCCGGAGCCCACACTGACAACCCGGAGCTTGCACTGACCACCCAGAGCCCGCACTGACCACCGCACCAACCACCCAAAGCCCGCACTGACCACCGCCCTGACCACGCAGAGCCAGCACTGACCACCCGGAGCCTGCACTGACCGCCCGGAGCCTGCACTGACCGCCCGGAGCCTGCACTGACCGCCCGGAGCCTGCACTGACCGCCCGGAGCCTGCACTGACCGCCCGGAGCCTGCACTGACCGCCCGGAGCCTGCACTGACCGCCCGGAGCCTGCACTGACCGCCCGGAGCCTGCACTGACCGCCCGGAGCCTGCACTGACCGCCCGGAGCCTGCACTGACCGCCCGGAGCCTGCACTGACCGCCCGGAGCCTGCACTGACCGCCCGGAGCCTGCACTGACCGCCCGGAGCCTGCACTGACCGCCCGGAGCCTGCACTGACCGCCCGGAGCCTGCACTGACCGCCCGGAGCCTGCACTGACCGCCCGGAGCCTGCACTGACCGCCCGGAGCCTGCACTGACCGCCCGGAGCCTGCACTGACCGCCCGGAGCCTGCACTGACCGCCCGGAGCCTGCACTGACCGCCCGGAGCCTGCACTGACCGCCCGGAGCCTGCACTGACCGCCCGGAGCCTGCACTGACCGCCCGGAGCCTGCACTGACCGCCCGGAGCCTGCACTGACCGCCCGGAGCCTGCACTGACCGCCCGGAGCCTGCACTGACCGCCCGGAGCCTGCACTGACCGCCCGGAGCCTGCACTGACCGCCCGGAGCCTGCACTGACCGCCCGGAGCCTGCACTGACCGCCCGGAGCCTGCACTGACCGCCCGGAGCCTGCACTGACCGCCCGGAGCCTGCACTGACCGCCCGGAGCCTGCACTGACCGCCCGGAGCCTGCACTGACCGCCCGGAGCCTGCACTGACCGCCCGGAGCCTGCACTGACCGCCCGGAGCCTGCACTGACCGCCCGGAGCCTGCACTGACCGCCCGGAGCCTGCACTGACCGCCCGGAGCCTGCACTGACCGCCCGGAGCCTGCACTGACCGCCCGGAGCCTGCACTGACCGCCCGGAGCCTGCACTGACCGCCCGGAGCCTGCACTGACCGCCCGGAGCCTGCACTGACCGCCCGGAGCCTGCACTGACCGCCCGGAGCCTGCACTGACCGCCCGGAGCCTGCACTGACCGCCCGGAGCCTGCACTGACCGCCCGGAGCCTGCACTGACCGCCCGGAGCCTGCACTGACCGCCCGGAGCCTGCACTGACCGCCCGGAGCCTGCACTGACCGCCCGGAGCCTGCACTGACCGCCCGGAGCCTGCACTGACCGCCCGGAGCCTGCACTGACCGCCCGGAGCCTGCACTGACCGCCCGGAGCCTGCACTGACCGCCCGGAGCCTGCACTGACCGCCCGGAGCCTGCACTGACCGCCCGGAGCCTGCACTGACCGCCCGGAGCCTGCACTGACCGCCCGGAGCCTGCACTGACCGCCCGGAGCCTGCACTGACCGCCCGGAGCCTGCACTGACCGCCCGGAGCCTGCACTGACCGCCCGGAGCCTGCACTGACCGCCCGGAGCCTGCACTGACCGCCCGGAGCCTGCACTGACCGCCCGGAGCCTGCACTGACCGCCCGGAGCCTGCACTGA